CTTAATAGAATCAACCAAATCCAAGCAAATCAATCAAAAGCCAATCCCTGAACTTATTCCAAGACTTCAAGCCAAGGAAATACTATATACCAACCGTGTTTTGTAAGGGTAAAGGTGCGTACTATGACTCCCCAATAAATAAAAATATGTGTGAGGTATCGGGTTCGATGCTCCGAGTTGGTGAGTCTGCTTGACTGTAGCTACAGGCAGGGTGAAATTTCCCATAACCTCTTTCGGACCCGGAACAGGTGGTAACCGTGGTTTGCCACCAGTTGTTAACCATTTTGGAAAGAAAAAAAAAATGTCATGAATGATTTCGACCTGAATAAAGTGCACTCCAATGTGAACTTTGATGAACGAGGATCCTCTAATCGTATCTATTCATTATATATCGTGCGGTCAGAAATCATTGTAAAACTCTTTATTTAAAATTAAATATAAACAGAATCTAACAAAAACTGACCACACGATATATAATAAATGGATACGATTAGAGAATTTCTGAAATCCTCACAAAGAAGGTCTAGAGGATCCTCATTCAACTTTGCTAAACAATGTTGTCATATTTACTTCTCATTTAATCATGTTGCTTCATATCACTGTAAGTAATCACATCAATTAATTCACAAACCTACTCTAATTTCAAAAATACCCAAATAAAAAAAATTAAAAATTAAAAAAACCGCACAATTGCTTAATGCCATAATTAATCCACTCCTTTCAACTTTCTGTGGCCTTCTGTGTCTGACTTCAGTGCCTGACATCTGTCCCCATATTTAACTCCGTCTAACTCTGTTAACCCTCAATAACATTTGTCAGACAAAATAGTAAAAGAATGGGTCATCTTCTCCGTTTCTCTGCCTTTGTTTTGATCTTCATGCCAGAAAAAATGGAAGTCGAGATCAACGCAGGAGGGGCTTGGGTGGGGTGGCTGCATATATATCTGAATCTTCCAAACCAAATTCTTCCAGGTTTCCAGATTCTTCCAGAATTGTGGTCTGATCATCTGAGAAGCGAGAAGGAGATGGACGGAAGGGGTGGCAGTCGGTTGGTCTGGCGGTGGTTGTCGGGGTTGAGTGGTCGTCTGTTGAAATTTTCAGGTCGACGGACCAAGGGTTCACTCTAATAACACCGATACTATTTCCACTTAACCACCTGCACAATCCTCAGGTGTGGGGTTTTATCATAAAAAACCTCGGTGTTAGTTAGAGTGGGGTAATTCTATTTAAAGTGTTTTCTCTCTTCCCTCTTGGCCGATGTGGGACAATGGATTCCAACACTTCCCCGCACGTGAGACCCCATTTATGGGTCACACGTGAAATTTCACACATCGACAACCACGTGGAGTCAGTCGGGACTCACCCAATCGCACTGGATCATTGGGGACCCACCCAAACACGTGGCATCTTTGGTCTACGTGAACAATCGCTCGGGGCCAATGGGGACCTACCCAATCACATGGCAGTACGGGCCCGACCCCTGACTCTGATACCATGTTGAAATTTTCAGGTCGACGGGCCGAGGTTCCACTCCAATAACACCGAGGTCCCCACTTAACCACCTACACAATCCTCATGTGTGGGTTTTATCAGAAAATGCCTCAGTGTTAGTTAGAGTGGGGTAATTCTATTTACAGTGCTTTCTCTCTTCACTCTTGGCCGATGTGGGACAATGGGTTCCAACATCGTCGGAGGCATGGGTATCGCTTCTTTTCTTATTCATTTATTTGGTCTCAGTTATTTTTATTTATTTATTTTAGAAAGGGTTTTTTTATGAAGAAATTAGGTTGACATCATTTTTTTGTTACTCCATTGATTAAAATTCTATTCATTTTTTATTTTTTATCAAGATCATTGGTATTAATAACATCATTAATTATATGAATAATAAAATATTTTTATTTCTAAATATATTCCTTTAGTGTTAAAAATGTTACAATTAGTATATTTATATTTATAGCTAAATTTTTTATCATATATTTTTATTTTTAGTTTGTACCTATTTTTAATTGCAAATATTTTTTAATTTGTACCATAATTTTTCATATTTAGTTTCTTTTTGTGCCCATATTTTTTAAAGTTTTATTTATATTTGTACTCATATGTATACCGTCACGTGATATTTTATATTTAATCAAAGGAGCTTTAATGAAAAGGGCTTGGGTTAAGTTTACTTTAACCAAAAACCATCATATACTATTATTTAACCAAAAGGGCTTTATATTTCATGATAAGGACAAAACTATTATATATCAGGCCCTATAACCTTGAATACACATGGGCTGAATCAAAAGCCCAAAACGAAATATTTTTTTTTTCCAGCTTAACCCTAACGAAACCTCACGTCAGCCACTATAATTAGAAATAGACTTTTTTTTTTACAAGTATGCCTTCCTCATAAAAAAAAAATTGAAAAAAAAAACCCCTTCTTTTTCTTATTCATTTATTTGGTCTCAGTTATTTTTATTTATTCCTATTTTAGAAGGGTTTTTCTTATGAAGAAATTTTAGGTTGACATCATTTTTTTGTTACTCCATTGATTAAAATTCTATTCATATTTTTATTTTTTTATCAAGATCATTGGTATTAATAACATCATTAATTTACTATGAATCAATAAAATATTATTTCTGGAAAATATTCCTTTAGTGTTTTAAAAATGCTTACAATTAGTTGATATTTATATTTAAGAAACTAAATTTTGTTTATCATATATTTTATTTTTTAGTTGTGGACTATTTTTAATGATTGGTAATATTTTTTAATTGTACCAATTTTCTTTTCATTAGTTTTTAATTTGTACCCATTTAGTTTCTGATAAAAGCCAGTTATTTTTTAAAGTTTTATAAATGTATCCATATGTAAGACCGTCACGTGTTAATTTTATATTTATCGTACTTAGTGGTTTAGTCGTGTTGAGTGTAAATAGGGTAAGGTGGGTTTGGTTTGTATGGAAGACTAGGTGAGTAGAGGTACTATAATAGTGGTTCCGTTAGTTTTAATGAAATTCAGTGATACTACATAGTGAGTGAGTTTCTTTATAAATAGTCAGAGTTTACGTTATTTACAGTAACAGTGAAAGTACTAATGTAGTTTTCGTTTAAGAAAATAGTTCTTGGTATAGGTTATGTTTACCGATAGAGCAGTGAGTAGAGATATCGTATTAATGAAAAGTAGTTCAGTCTTGTGTGTACTGACAACAGTGTTTGAGTACTACTTTTGTTCGATTTTGTTAACAACAGTGATAGTACTAAGTGTTTTCGATTTGTATTACACAAACACTAGATACGTCTAAATTGTTCAGTAATAAAATAGTCAGTGTTTAGTTTACTAAAAGTGTTTATAGTACTCAGTGTCGTTTTAAGATAGTAGTTGTTTATTTCACAAAACAGCGTATAGTACTCAGCGTTCCCGTTGTAAGAAATAGATTCAATAGTTTTTAGTTTAACCGAAACTTAGTGTGATAGATAGTGTTTTGTTTAATAATATAGTCAGTAGTTTAGTTAGTTCGTAAGTGATAGTACTAGTGTTTCTTTTTAAAATAGTTAGTGTCGTTATTTACGAAACACAGTGTCCTATCAAACGTCAATAAACAGGTAGTTGTTCCGTTTAAGAGAATACGTCAGTGCTTGAAAGTGGATAGGGTGACTGATAGTACTAGTGGGATAAGCCGTGATAGTAAGAGAGTACTAGTTTCCAGTGTAGTTTACGAAAACCGAGTTTGGTGATAGTTTACTAGTGCGTCTGAGACACATGTTATTTTTGTTCATACAGATTTTGTTTACAAAACAGTGATAGTACTAACTCAGTCGTTTCGGTACTAGTGTTCCGTTTAAGAAATACAGTGTGTTTAATTTACACAGCGAAGACAGTGTTCCGTTTACTACGAACATGATTACTGTTGTTCAGTGTTATTACGTAAGAGATAGTACTAGTGTTCCGTTTAAAAAATAATCAATGTTTAGTTTACGAAACAGTTATAGTACTAGTGTTCCGTTTAAGAAATAGTCAGTGTTGAAACAGTGATAGTACTAGTGATCCGTTTAAGAAATAGTCAGTGTTTAGTTTACGAAACCGTGATAGTACTAGTGTTCGATTTTGTTTACGAAACAGTGATAGTACTAGTGTTCGTTTGATAAATAGTCAGTGTTTAGTTTACTAAACAGTGAAAGTACTAGTGTTCCATTTAAGAAATAGTCAATGTTTCATTTACGAAACAATGATAGTACTAGTGTTCGTTTGATAAATAGTCAGTGTTTAGTTTATGAAACAGTGATAGTACTAGTGTTCCGTTTAGTTTATGAAACAGTGATAGTACTAGTGTTCGTTTGATAAATAGTCAGTGTTTAGTTTACAAAACAGTGATAGTAATAGTGTTCCGTTTAAGAAATAATCAGTGTTTAGTTTACGAAACAGTGATAGTACTAGTGTTCCGTTTAAGAAATAGGACAAACAAAAGAAGACTGCATCTGGATAAATCTACAATTAGGAAATTTTGGGTCATCTCCATTTGGCTGTGTGAAAAAAAAAAACAAGTTAAAAGGGTCGAAGATTGCATTTGGATCACAGAATAAACATACTTGTTAAAGTTGTAATTATTTTGAGCCATTTGCATTTCAAGATGTGAAAGCCTAAAGGAAAACGATGGGCAATCAATTTTGACCAATTGCAGCTAGCCTATGTTGAACTGCAAGCGAAGTCCACCTAATTGAACTTCTGAAAGTGCATACTATTTGTAATTTAAGTTAGAGAATGTGAAACAAGCTCAATTAACTTCCTAATCACCCTCTCTTAGTGACTCAACAAGTCTAAATACTACAAACTGTATTAAGAGTTCATTAGCACATAATCACCTGCTCAATGCACCAAAGAACCTCTCTCTTGGCAACTTCTTTGCTCTCATAAAGCCCAGCAACAAAAATTTTAATTTGCAAAATTAAATTGTAAAAAAAATAAAGAATAAATCCAAGAACAAAAATTAAACAACAATTAGAAACTAATTGCTCTCATAATTTCTCTCAAAAGTTATCCAGTCATGTTCTGAATCAAAATAACATATATTGCCCATTGTAGGTACATAATCACAGAGCAAGATAAACACAAAATTCAAACATAATTAAAAAATTAAAACTAAAAATATTTTAAATGAAATTTTGAAATTGGTAAAAATGGAAGAGCGATCAGAGATGGTTAAGGGTTGTCGGTCACGGTTAAATCAGAAACATGGACCAATAATTCCTCATCATATCATGCTTGAAACCCTAAATTTGCAAATTAATTTAAAAACCAAAAACTTCAAACACCCAAAAAACAAAAAATATCGCAGCCCGAACATTAAGAACCGAAAAATAATCAATATTTCCAAATCAAAATTCAATAGCACAAACCTTATCCAATACTAATGTCCTCTGAATATCAACTTCTGTCGGCTCGGCAGCCGATATTGGATTGGTCACGGCCCAATAGAAACGATATCCAGATAGCATAGGACGCCGTGAAGTACGCCGGCGATGATCCAAGGGGACGGGCATAAACAAATGATGAAGGATGTATTCGGTAATGCTTGCACCTCAGGTACGACAGCGATGATCCAACTAGCTAGTTTTCTTCGACGAAAGGTAGATTAAGAAAGTCATACAACATCTCCGCTTCTTTCCGAACCAAGATTTGCACTTGTTTATCACATCTTTCGAGAATATAACCACTAAAACTCATGAACAATATATGCATAGATTTACATCAATAATAAAACAAATACCCCACTCCATCAACTAACAATAATCAAAAAGAGCATTTTAAATAGATTCCAACCTGCAACTTCCAATTTAAGCCTTTCTGGACTACTCGATTTCCACATTGTCTATGGCAGCCACACTTGCTCCAACATTCTTTAATAGATTGCCTCCTTAAGTGGCCCTTGCATGGTTCTAAACAATCATCATTCTTGACTCTTTCAAGTAGGCAGCTTTTACAATAGAAAGGACGGTGTTATTGAGGGTTGTGAGTCATAGAGATACACTCTTCTAAGAAATCATCGTTTAGAAGGCCTTCTCGGGTGTTTCAGAGTTTGACGGAGAAGATCGGATGATGACAAGATGTAATGAGAAAATTACATAAATTAATCTGAGTTTATAAACTTTCTCTCTGCATATGAAGGAAACGGACCAAATAAACGGGTGAGGAAACTTGACGTTAGGGGTACAATTGGAAGCCCAATAAATTATTTTGGTTGGGCCAGTTTTATTGGGCTTTGATATTAGGTTTTGTACTAACCATTAAATAAACTTTTAACATGGTTTTTGGTTAAAATTTAAAGTTTTCAAGCCCTTTTGGTTAGTTTTCCTTTTAATCAATGATAGAAAAATTACATATGGTATATTTATGTTTTATGCATAAACTTTGTATCATATTTTTATGTGACAACCCGTCCCAAATTTTATTAATTTATAAATTTTAAAAGTGTGAATTTACAAAAATGCCCTAGAAGTGAAGGTTTTGACTTTCGTTGACCAACATATAGTAAGACGTATAATTAATATTCCTTTTGATTATTCCTAAAGTACTCGACTATACGGAAGCGTAGGCACAAGAAAAAATGAATTTGAAGTTACGGTCAAGTTTTATGGAGTTACGAATTCGAAGTATTTTGAAGAAAATTTCCATTTTTAAGTATATTATATTACTTTATAATTCTAAGGGGTTATGCCACATGGGTGTGGCTGAGGGGGAGAGAAGAGGAAGAAAGGACCAATCAGAAATGGAAGAAAGGGGGGTTTCGGGGAGAAAAAATGAGGGAAGGTGTGGCAAATCGGGGAAGGAGAGAAGGAGAAGATACCCAATCGGGAGGAGGGAAGAGAGAGCCCAGGAGGGAAGGAGAGAACAGGGGATTTGACACCCTTTCTCTTCAACCCGTTACCAATTCCGTGACCCGGTCCTGAGCCAGTTATTGCAGCAAATCTCAACGCCATTTCAGGCATTTCTCCGACGAATCAAGGATCTCCATCGCCTGCAAACATCATCCCACTCCTTGTTCTTCATTTTCCATCCGTGGGACGATGGTAATTGGCCCCATTTCGTGACGGGGAGTGACAACACCGCCAAGGAACATATGATGGCAACTCCCATACCTGAAACTAATTTCATCGATTACCACCCCCAATGTACTCTCCTTGATCTCTGTAACATAGCCCAACCATCTATGGGGGCGGCGGAGCACCAGCGACGGTGAATTTTAGTGCACCCAATTTTAGGGTTTTTCGACGGGTTTGATGAAATTGGAGCCTTTCCATGCCCAATTGAACTTGTCCATAGTTATAAAACTTACTCTACTCATTGAGATCTTTATTTCTAAGAAATTTGGTAATTTTTGGAAATAGTTGAATTTTCCAGCGAGTCGGGGCAGCCGACCCCCACCCGCGGTGGCACGTGGCCTGTGGGCCAATGTTGTTTTAATTAAGTGCTATTAGATGCCCTAGGTCTATGATCGATATCTGTATGACGTAATTTCATTATTTGGGTTTAGTTTCATTTAGACACGTGAATAGGTCAAGATATGAATCGACGATCCGACCGTTGGATCGTCACCAAACTTTAATACATATTAGTGCATAATATTTGAGGATCATAGGAATTTATGGATCGGGAATCCGACGTACGGATCTTCCCAAATTGGATTTGTAAGTTTATAAAATAAAATGTTAACCGCTACTTGGTTTTGGCAATTGGCGGAGATCTGACCGTTGGATCGTTCCGAAACTTTAGTATGTTATTCTAGAAGTATAATGTGGATCCTTGGAAGTTACGGATCAGAGATCTGATTTGTAAATCTTCTGGAACGAATTACGTAGACTCATGTGCGATGTAATTTATGTATTGTATCAACGAGAATTCTGAGATATGGTTTGATAATTGGTCATAGGCGCCGATCGTTTGTGACGCCTTGATGTTTGTGCTAGGAAGTTGTAACGTGGACTCCAGGTGAGTGCATCTTTCCTTGCTTATCATATTTTTCATGATTGATAATTCTATAAATGCTTTTAAATAAAACTGAGAAATTTATACCATGACATATATATTTATATGTTATAAAATACTAGGAGATGGTTGAGTTTAGATTTCATCATGATATATCCATAAGCATATTACTATAAATGATTATTGTGAACTACGAATGGCTTGATCCCTGGTTAGGGTACGTAGGTAGTCTAACGAGACGTTAGATGTAGCCAAATAAGAAATGAGATTAAATAATCGAGATCATAGCCATGTTTAAGGAATTGAGCAATGCGTGTGGGCTTTTGGTTTTAAGGATATATATATGTATACACACACACACACACACACACACACACACACACACTTGATGTTTTTCCCAGAAAATGCAATTGAGCAATGTGTGTGGGCTTTTGGCTTTAAGGATATACACACACACACACACACACACACACACACACACACACACACACACACTTGATGTTTTTCCCAGAAAATGCAATTAATGATTTATACTTTAAAAATGCCATGCATATTGAATAATGCTTAAATGATGAGTTGAATTGTTTGCATATATATATATATATATATATATATAATTGTGGTACTGTGAACACTCTAAAGTGCAAAGGTGAACACATGACACACAGGTGAGTTTAGGTAAGTTTAGGTAAATTCAAGTAAGTATACGATATTAGTGGAATTGATGAGATATGTGATGAGATATCAATATGTCGTATAGGTCACTAGAGGTGACTATGATTGACGAGATATGTGATGAGATATCAATATGTCTTATAGGTCACTAGAGGTGACTCTGACTTATATGCTAGCCATGATTGTTGAGATATGTTATGAGATATCAATATGTCGTATAGGTCACTAGAGGTGACTCCGACTTATATGCTAGCCATGATTGATGAGATATGCGATGAGATATGAATATGTCATATAAGTCACTAGAGGTGACTCCGACTTATGTGCTAGCCATGATTGTTGAGATATGTTATGAGATATAAATATGTCGTATAGGTCACTAGAGGTGACTTCGACTTATATGCTAGCCATGATTGATGAGATATGTGATGAGATATGAATATGTCGTATAGGTCACTAGAGGTGACTCCGACTTATGTGCTAGCCATGATTGATGAGATGTTATGAGATATCAATATGTCGTATAGGTCACTACAGGTGACTCCAACTTATATGCTAGCCATGATTGATGAGATATGTGATGAGATATGAATATGTCGTATAGGTCACTAGAGGTGACTCCGACTTATGTGCTAGCCATAATTGATGGGATATGTGATGATATATCAATATGTCGTATAGGTCACTAGAGGTGACTCCGACTTAGATGCTAACCTATATATGGTGAAATGCTAGCATATATATAATGAATATATGTGATGAGCTAGCATATGTGATGAATACGTGATAAACTAGCAGACGTAATGAATATGCAATAAGTTAGCATGTGATTATAAATATATGAAGCATGACTTGAACTGATATATATATATATATATATATATATAGATATTTTTATATTCTAATTCTGGAAATTTTACAGGCGTTGTAGCGAGGGGTTATAGAAATTTATATGGTTTCTATTAAAATTTTATCTACTGGGCCACTCACCTTTGTCTTGTCTTCACCCTCCAGGTTTTCTTAGCTGAGCCTTCTTATCGTCGAGGAATCGTGGCGATTCTTAGTATTGGAGATTATTTCGAGGGTCTGATTTTTAATTCACTCTTCTGTACTTGCTTATGCTCTAACATCACGTGTGAAGGGGGTTCATTCCCGCTCACCAGTGCACTCTGGTATTTAGGCACTCTTAGGTTTAAATTTATTCACATTTTTTCCACATCATCACACTTTATGGGTTCGTCACCTTCCAGGTGTCAGCCAGCACAACTCGATTCGAAGTCCGAGTGGACATTCCTGGTCGGGTGTGTCAATTTATATTTTTAGTTTGTACCCACTTTTAATTTGCAAGATTTGTTTTTTAAATTTGTAGTATTTCCTTTTTAGTTTTATTTTGTACCCATGTAGTAATTTCTTTTAGAGCCTATATTTTTTAAAAATTCATT